TGTGTTATTTTTAAACGAGATTTGAATAAATTTCGTCATTTCCGAACACAAAATTTAAACCGTCAAAACCGCCATCAGCGCCTGCGCACTGCGGCGCGCGGCAGCTTCGACATCAAGGTACAGCTCCGAGGAGATGTAGCTTTCGGTAAAATCGGTTGAGTAGTTTTTGAGTTAAATCGTAACAAACCAAAAATCAATCATCTTTCATCTAATGCGACCCTAATATTAATTTTAAAATAATTCACAATATAACTATATACCTAAAGACAACAAACGAACTCAAAATTAAAAATGCAAAACCTTTAAATTTAAAACAATATAGGTAACTACCAACAATGTGAAAACAAAACGAATTAAATTAAAGTACCTATGTTCAGGACTATCAATTTTAATTAATAAGTAAGTAGTTAGGTATCTAACTACCTTAAGAAAACAAACACGAAACAAAAATGTGACTATGAAGTTTTAAATGATTCACAATAAGAAAAAAACAAACAAATTATTAAAACTCAATGAAATAAAAGTATGTTTGCAAGTATCTATGTATGTTCCGACTACCTAAAGACAACAAATACAAAACAACCTTAAAATATCGAACTCAATTATAACTTTCCAACAACACCCAGAAAGAAAACACAGTCGTCACCTCCATTCGCTCCAAGTCAGTTTATTAAAGGATCACGCGCGCGTAATCGTTCGGCTTATTAGCTAAACAGTAGGCAAAACGGTGCGGGGGGAAGGTCGGCGATCGCATCAAGCGAAGCGAGGTGCTTGAATTTTATTCTCGCATCCGTATTTTTTTGCGATTACTCCTAAGATATTCATTTAAATTATATGGTGTAAAAGAGTAAAATAATGTGCATGAAATGCTTAAAGCCTCTAACTTATTTAAAATGATTAGGATTAATACCGTATTTGTGTAAATAGCTTTTAGATTACCGCTTTATAATTGTCAATTTTTGAAAGTATTAAAATGGATATAGGTAGTATGTTGTCTTTAACATATAGACATATTCCATCGCGGACTTTTCTGTAGGCATATATAAGATACACAATTCCACCATACATTGATACACTACATAAACCCGGCTCGGACGCGAGGCGCGGGGTCACGGGGCGCCCGCGCGGCCCGGTCGAGTCACGGCGACACGAAATTAATTTCGTTGCGCATTATTTTGATTTTGCTATATCTCCTAAGGCCTAAGGTATTTATTTAATTTTCATGGTGTAAAGGGAAAAAATAATCTTCATGAAATGCTCAAGCCAACTAACGTATTTAAAATGATAAGGATTAACACCGTATTTGATGGCTTTCCAATTACCGCTTTATAATTGCCAATTTTTTTAAGTATTAAAATGGATATATGCCATCGCGGACTTTTCTGTAAACCTTTATAAGATACACAATTCCACCATACATTATTTTGTTATATCTGAAAGGGTTTAGGCAGCGTTTTCGTTGAAAGCTGAAGATCGGTGCAGTAGTTTTTGAGTTTATCGCGAACAGACAGACAGACAAGCGCGGCGGAGGACTTTGTTACAAGTTTTAAATTCGAAATAAGGCACATTTGCATACTCTTTTGAAGAAATAATTAAGTGTCCTTTGCATAGATTAGTAAAATCATATTACCAGTATAGTAAAATGTAAGAACAATTTTTCTAGATAATTGCACGGTCTACAATTTTTGTCTGACCTATTGTTATGATACAACTTATCATTTGGCTGAAATATGTAAAAAACATATTTGCGAACTTTGAATAAATTTTTTTTGCAGATGTGGGATCGATGGGGACTCTTCACATTTCATTTATAATGATGTTCTCAACATTCGTACCAATTTTCAGCTTTATGCGAATTATTGTAAGCCAACTCCTATTTTTTGAGCTACTTTGACTGGGTTATACTATTATAATAATGATATTAATAAATAAATAGAAACTGTCACACGATCAGGTGACTCGTACATGACTTTTTTGAATTTCTGTGGTGCAAGTCGTGCGTTGCGTGCCCGAGGCACTTTCCCACCCGATATTCTCTCGTGTGTAAAATTGCATTTGCATGTATTTATACGAATACTTTGTGACAAGGCAGAAAATTAGCTGTAAATATTGCCACGAAACGGGAGATAATCGACATTTTGTTAAACTATTTTCCCTGTAAAAGTAAAACAGTGGTTTGGTTTAATGGAACTGCTATTTTGATTAAACCAAATCGTGTGGGAGATATCGTATCATGTTTGGTCAAGGGAAAATGCTTAGGGGAAACTGTAGAACAAGTGGTATTATGAAGGGAATGAAAGAAAATTGCCCTAGACAGAACTGCTTGTCACTTTGTCGGTTTGGACTTTTTGATGTTTCGAGGAACATATTGCTCTCTTCCTAAAAGGAACTGAAGCTGGAGTGTAAGGAAATGAGTCATCTGCTCATAAAGTTGTTTCCCACAATATGAGCAGTTAGGAGTTTTGTTTGTGGGGTCAGATATCTTTAGAATACGTAGATTTCTGGCATCGAAGTAGATTAGACGTTTGACAGCTCAAAATCTTCCTTATGTCATACACATTTTAATACCTGGAGGCATATTTTGGAATTCAAGATGGCGATCGTGTACTTTCAAAAGAAGAGTGAAAAATTTCTTTGGATTCTCGAAATATTTACAAGATAAAGTCTATGTTGGTCTATAAACAGTCAAAACTCAGTCATGTTGACTATTTCCTTTGACTATCGTGGTGTTGTGAGCAAAGAATTCCTTCCGGATGAAGAAACAACCAAAAAAGAATATTATCTGGGCGTCATGAGGCTTTTGATAAAGAGAAACCGTCGCAAAAGATCAAATAATGCACCACCACACAAAGCGATAATTGTGAATGAATTTTTGAACAAAAACTCAACGAATGTCAACGAGCAGCCACCATATTTGCCGGATATTGTCCCTCCTGACTCAGCGTCTTTCCTAAACTCAAATTACCGCTTCGTGGAATACGTTTCGAGTCGATAGATTGTTGCTTATTATTTCAAGAATCTTTGTAACTTCTTCAAAGAGGTAAATTTGGTATAGTGGTAGGTAACTGAATAAAAGAAGTTTTTTGAGTGGGTTTCCTGTGTATTTGTACTGTACTTTATGGTCTCGATGTTCAGCTGGATTTAAAAGTGAGGCTATGTGTCGTATGCAAGTCACGCCAAACGTTTACGTGCACGTTAATTCCGATCCCGATTTATGGGCTTTCCTAGAACACGTGCAATCCTTTATAATAGAAAATACAGCGGAATGCTATTAATATGAATATAATCTGAGTGTAACCCATTTAAGTTTTCTAGTGTAAATCTAACGGCGGATATTTTGAATGAGTTTGTTTATCTTCCTACATAATTAAGGATTTACGATGTTTATTGTAAGTTCTCGTTAGGAGCTTACTGGCTTTGTTTATGCGCCTTAAAATAAAATGGTATCGTATATTTGACTACTGGGAACAAATAAATAGAGGCATCTACGAACTACTCGACGTTTTACGACGGATTTTTGTGTTGGTAATCGCTCACCTTGTGCCCTGTGTTGTTCAGGATGGTCGTGTGGAAAATTTGACTTGTACTTGTTGTACAGGGTGTTAGAAGAGAGCGTAAACAATTTGGAAAACAGAGCTCTTTGAAAATTCTAAAAAAGTCGACCTTACATCATTTATTAGTCTTTCCTTAGTACTTCTTTTCGTCGATATAATTCTAGTTCCAGCAATATTAATTTCTTTTTATGTCAAAGTTAAGCCCTAGTGTTCTCGATATAAATTTGATGTCACTCTTTAGTGCTTCGTTAGTGTCTTTAGTGCATCGATTTTTTTTGTTCGTGCTTCCTTGCCATTCTTGTTTTTTTTTCTGAAAACTTGAGATAGCCTTAAATTTAAAAAATTAACTACATTAAGTACTAACGAAGCACTAAGAATGGCGTTAAATCCCTTTAGATATGAGATATTTTAAGAGATGCCATTGAAATAAGGAAATAATCTAAACGGGAAAACTAAGAGAGCACAAGTAATAAGATCGAAGCACTAAAAAGCACTAATGAAGCACTAACGGCTGACATCAAATTTGTTTACATTTGGACACTTTGGGGGTTAACCTCATAAAAGGAAATTAAATGTTACTGGAACTAAAAATGTACCAACGAAAATGATTGAAGCACTAAAAACACTAACAAAGCATTAATTAAGACGTTAAAGTGGCAAAATACACTTGAGATCACCTTGAAATTTAAAAATTCAAATATTTCTTGAACTAAAGAGAAGAATAAGGGCACTAAGAAGCACTAACGAAGCACTAAGAATGTCGTTCAATTCTTTTAAATATAAAACGCTTTAGAAGATGAAATAAGGAAATAATCAAAACAAAAAACTAAGAAAGTACAAGCAAAAAGATCGAAGCACTAAAAATACTTATGAAGCACTAATAATGACTTTCAATTCCTTTAGATATGAGACATTTTGGAGGATGACATTTATATAATTAAATAATTTAAACAAGAAAGATAAGAAAGCACAAGCAAATAAGATCGAAGCACTAAAAGGCACTAATGAAGCACTGACTGCTGACATTTTTTTACATTTGGGGTTAATCATGACGTAAAATGATATTAAATGTTACTGGTACTAAAAATGCACTAACGTAAATGATTGAAGCACTAAGAAACACTATTGAAGCACTAATTAATGACAACAAACTCAATTAACATCCGAAATATTTTGGAGGTTGACTGAAATAAATCACTCGAAAGCTGAGCAAGTATTAACGCAAACAATCGAAGCACTATGAAGCACCAACGAAGCACCAACGAAGCACCAACGAATGACATAAATTTTGTTTCGATTTTGAACATTTTGGGAGCTGGACTTAAAATGAAAGAAATTCAAATTGAAACTAAACAAGCACTAATTTAAAATGAAGCACTAAAATTTCGATATTCTTGGGGCTCAATAAAGTGACCATACACTTGATAGGAAACTTCGGAGACTTACCGTCTTTGCGATAGTAGAGTATCTCGGCGTGTTTTTCGACGCCGTCCTGCAGCGCCTCCCTCAGGCTGGCCACGGCCTGCTGTGACGTGAGCGGTCCACATAGGAACTCGCAGGAGGCAGGTCGTTGCATCACATCCGCTCTGGAATAGCCGGTCAGCCGGCAGAAGCCGTCGGAGCAGTAGATGACGTGGCATTGTCCCTCGCGGCTGTTGGCTACCAGGAAAGAGCGATCTGGAACGAAAGAAAAAGGCTGAAGTGAAAGCTGTATCAGTGCTTCTAAAGCTAGTCTTACACCCGGGGACAAAATTCAAACGACATTTAATTTGTTCGGCACACAGACAAGACTAGTGGTTTGATTGAAAAATTCTAAAGCTAGTTTCACATCTAGGACGAAATTCATACAAGTGTTTGCTTATTCGGCAGACAAGAATAAACTGAAGACTGAAATGTTAAAAATCTCAAGTAAATATAATAAATACCACTTTAAGTGTATTATATTTATGTCAGTATCACTTTTTAATACAGTTGTATTGGAACAATTGGTGTTTTAAAGCTAGTATTACATCCTTCATAAATTCATAACAGCTTTAAGCGTGTAACATTAAGATGAAATTTGAGTAAAGTAAGTTTAAATATAATCTACTTTCTCTAAAGCTGGTTTTATATTTTGGGACAAAATTCATACACATACTATATCTCTGCGGTATAAGACAAAATTTTATTAAAACTTAGCCCTTTACATCAATTTTCTGCATTTCAAAACCTTTGTAATAAAATTTAATTGAAATGATTGATGTGTCTAAAGCTGGTCTCACATTACAGAACCGAATTCATATAAATCACTACGTTTATGATGGACAAGATGAAACTGTAGATTGTAATCCTGAAAATCAAAACTAAATCAATTATTTCAACATCCGTTTTCTAAAAATTGTTTGAAATATTTCCCTGCAAGCAATTTTTCTCAGTATTGTTAAGAGATCAATTGCAATTTGCAATAAATTATATCAGTTATAACGATTTGAGTGTATTTTTAGATACGATTTACTGTTTTTAGGGAAGGTGAAGCAGTTGGAAAATGTATTCTATGGTCATACAAAATTCGTAAATGACGTTATACCACCTAAAATTTCAATAAAATAATTGGCGCGTCTAAAGCTGGTCTTACATTTAGGGGCAAAATTCATACAATAAATGATGTATGTGATTGACATATACGATTAAATTGGAAATTTTCATAGAAAATTTGACATTCTGCCTATCATATATTCTTTTACTTAGATTGGCCGTTGATTATGGTATTGACATCAACTTTTTAATACAGTGTTGCATTGTTTTGAAATAATCTTATGCCACAAGATCCGACGTCACATCTAAGAAAGAAATTACCTTTTTTAGTCAAGATAGACTAATTCATTTGGCATTTTTCTAAAGCTGGTTTCACATCTATGAACGAAATTCATACTTTGTTAGGGGTACGAGAAATACGAAAAAATCGAAGACTGGAATTATGAAGATCTTAGTAAATCAATTACTTTAAGAACGGTTGAAATATTGAAATATCTTCATTATTTGATATTCGCTATCAAATATTAAAAATTAACCCACTCTATCGGAATTGTGAATTTCAAAACCATTTATTTATGTGGGTATTACTTTCTAATACAGTTTTATTGGTATAATTCGTATTTCTAAAGCTAGTTTCACATTTAGGGACAAAATTCATACAAAACTTCCCGCCCAGCCCAAAATTTGGACTGCAGAAACCCGAAGAAAGTAAATAATTTCAACATTCTTAGTGAAAATTTAGTTTCAATCTGGTGTCTCTACAGTGGACAATATTCATACACATGTGCGGCGATGGAAAGGGGACCATAAAAATATAAAATTGAACTTTTAAGGTTAACCAACTATATTTCAAAATTGTTGACTAGCTGTTAAATAGCATCTAAGGCTGATCTTACACCTAGGGGTAAAATTCATACAAATCTGTTTGATGGGATGCTCCACTAGAGGTCGTCAAAATCAATTAAAAAACACTTTTATTTCATGTAAATTTACAAGCTTTATGGAGGCAATTCTGGTTAAATAAAATTATATTATTTTTGGTGCACCCTGTATAAATATGTCTTTGTATAAGCTGTAGTATATAAATTACTAGTTCTAAGCATTATTCTAAATCAAATGTAAGCTTAAATAATTTCGTCTGCATGTTCTGATGACTGCGGAATAATAATCACAAAAAAATTGGTATACATTTCTGCATGCAAAAGAGCCATTACTGGTTCTGCTTGAAATTCTTCTACTTCTGTGAAATACGGCGCTGTCAGGTGGAAATTTGTTTTTCCATTAGGTATAATAACATTTTATTTAATTATTAGGGTGATTTGCAGAAAGTTACACGCACCATCTTAGTTGCTATAATGTAAAAAATAAGTAAAAAAATACCAAAAAAGGGATACAATTTTTTAGTGAAAAAAAATCAACAAATATAAAAAATCTTTAAACATATCAATGTCTATGTGTACACATTTACTTTAATTGAATTGCAGTAAATCTTCTTCTTGTTTCCTTCACTATTTCTGATCTTCCCTGCAGAATCGCTCGAATCCATCTTTTGTTCAAAATTAAACGCAAGTCGCAGTAAATAATACAAACTTTAGCGACTTTAACTGTCACCATAACAACGAAGAAAAACGTAACATCTAGTAAAGATTGAACATGTTAGGAACTTACAGCTCGTTTCGCATCTTCAATCTCTTTAATTATATAAATTTTCTAACAATATGATTTATTCTTGAACAACTATTAATGTTTTGGGAAACTGTCACAAGTAAATAATTCGTTTGTAAAACGTTTTTCCCTTTTTACAGTTATTATTTATTTATTTATTTATTTAAAATCCCGTAAATCGTAAATAAAAATAGTAAACAGTAAAAATTTTGGAACACACTGTATAATGATTTAGCACAAGTAAAATATTCAAAATGTTACGTTTGACTTTTATTTGCATAGTTTTTAACCGTTTACAGTATAAATGTCGCATTCTTCACTCTGAACTTAATAAATTCGATGTGTAAATGAAGCTTAGCACACCCTATATAACGTAAACGAACAAAACCACTACAGACCAATGAAATACGTAAAACAGATGCATTGTGTGGATATTTTCACGTTTAATAAAAACATATATAACGTGCCACGTTACGATTTTCATGTGGAAATATGTTTTCATATCGATTAAAATGCACAGATAAGAAAAACATTTTTATCTCACCTGAAAAGTCGCTTTTGCGTCATGTGAGGCTCTTTGTTTATAGATTTTCCAGTGAAATGCGTGTCGTCAGTTTAATAATTGGCGCTTTAATCAACAAAATTGTAATTTGCAAGAACTGATAACGATAATAACGGCCTAGGTGTGGTTTTAAATGGAAAATGCTCTTTGTTGGCTTGATAGCATAATTCGAGGGACAAATTTGTAAGGCTGGTCTCACATTGACGACAAAATTCATAACGGAATTATAAATTAGAGTATAATTTGACAAAGAAAATGATTTTTCCAAATAACGTTGTTTCCGTTATCAAATAAATTATTTCTGAACGATGTAATTAGATTAGATTTAAAAAAATAGAGCTATAGCATGGCAGCTGACAAAATTATGAGCAAATTAGTACAGAGGAGCTTTCTAGTGGCTAAACAATTAAAATTAGTTTTAGTTTTAGTTTTTTACTACTATAAAGCTCAATGTGTTCAGGATCCGTACATTTACGGTCGAAATTCATACAGATGGCCCTGGAACAAGTCCTTGTGGAACATCAGCTACAAAACTAATAATATTCCCCGCCTTGAAGATAATTTAATGACTCTTAAATGTCAAAATCGTCCAATTTTTTTATTCACTCGGTTCTAGTGTGCAAAACAACATATACCACAAATTTTATTTCACATTTCTCTGAAAAATGTACAAGGAAATACACTTGACCACTAAACATCGAAGCAAGCTGTAAATTAGAAATACGATTTTCAGCTAAACACCTATATATTCCGCTTTGGAAATTGCTTTTCTTTGAAGAGACCACAATTAAAATATTTCCCGGGATATAAGCTGCGTCTATTTCGCCTAAATATTTCTCAATTTGCCATTGAAAAGTACTTACTGTCAAAATCTCTAAACGTTTGCTAATGCAGATGATTTGTCAGTTTGGCTGCCAAATTTCGGTCCCAAAATATGTCCCGGCGAGTTTTCAGTAAACATAACTAGCTAGATTTTTGTCTAGTGACGAATGGATTTGTGCTAGTCGCAGAAACATGTATATGCAACGGTGACCGGCGTATATAGGATGTTTTGGAGACGGTGCCACGTTAAAAAAGCAAGAAACGTTAATGAGAATCTCTGGTTTATAGCAGATGCGTTGGTGACAGATCAAGTTGTATTTTTCAAGTAGTATTTACAAGGAATGGTGTGCACAAAACTCACAACACACTCGTCTTGGGGATGGAAAATTCACACTCAGGAAAAAGAAAACATTTTCCGTTTCAGTTTTTAACTCTATCTTTTCAGGTTCTTAGTTCTGGGTGGTTATGAGTTCTTGTCTAAATCCAATCGACTAATTTTCCAGTGACGTACGGGGTATCTCAAACTCGACAGTATGGGCCTACTATGAGGATACAAAAAATTTAAATAAAATTTGAAACATTTTCAATCCCAAGGTTCTGTTCTGGGACCACTACTATTCCTACTGTATATAAATGATTTCCCAATTTCTGTGAGAAACGACGTGTTCGCGATTCTTTTCGCTGATGACACTAACTTATCCATAGCCAATAATGTTTTGGATGATCTGACGGTGGACATTCCAATAATCAAGAATGACGCATTACATTGGTACACTTCAAATAACTTATGCCTAAACGCATCTAAGACCGAAAAATTGATGTTCAGCCTGCGTGAAATAGACGATGTAAACAATCCTGATGCAGTAAAATTTCTGGGAATATATTTGGATCCGAAATTGCAATGGGACAGGCACGCCCACTACCTCTGCAATAAGATCTCCAAGGGTATTTATTTAATCCGCAACTTGATTAGCAAAGTATCTCAAAAAACGTTAATTACTGCTTATCATAGCCTTATTCACTCCCAAATATCCTATGCAATCCTGATTTGGGGTCATTCACCTTCAGCTGATACCGTTTTTGCTACTCAAAGAAAAGCCATTCGCATAATCTC